GAACGACTGGGGCTACTGCACCGAAAGAGGAGCTGTCAGACACAGGCTGGAAAGGATACACACAGGGCCTGGGATTTCTTTCCTTTTCTTCCCCACCCCCTTATTTATCAGTGTGGAGTTGTTCCACTTACATTGCTGTATAACTAAGGAATCCAAACTTTAGTTATGGCTTAAAAGAACCATTTCATTATGCTTATGGATTTTTTTAGCTCAGAAATTCAGGCAGAGCTCAGAGGGAGTGGCTTGCTGCTGCTCCACGATGTCTGGAGCCTCATTTGAGAGAATTTGAAGATGAGGTGACTTCACCGTTGGGACTGGAATCACCTGAAGCCATGTTCACTTATGTGCCTGGTACCTGGATTGGGACAACTTGAAGAAAAGGGCGTGACTGAGTGACTACACGTTACACATAGCATCTCCATGTGGCTTGGCTTCCTCACAGCATGGTGGCCTCTGGGTTGTTGGACTTTTTACATGGTGGCTCAGGACCCCAGAATTAAGTATTCCAACAAACAAGTTGGAAGCTCCATGCCTTTTTATGATCCAGCCTCTTAAATCATATGATATAATTTCCACTCCATTGACTGAAGCAGCTCCATACTTACCCAGGTTCAAAAGGAGGAGAAAAACATCTCATCTGCTGATAACAGGGTTATCAATAAATTTGGGGGCATTGTTTGTTTGGGGGAGGAGGAGCAGTGTTTTAACATATTTATGTATTTATAGGAATGCATACTCAGTAACTATGGAATGAATGATTTGTGGATAAAATATATTTCTTGTAATTATACACTGATAGCTGATGCCAGGATAAAGGATTGTTAAAAGTTGGGAGAGAATCAAAATTCAGAGTCTTATAAGACCTTCTTGAAATTAAAAATAGGCACTGTACTAAGTAAATTATACTTGTATTTTTTAAATATACAAGTTTATAGATGAGAAAATAGAAATTCAGAAAGTTAGTTGACCTGCTGAAAGTCTTACAACCAATAAATGGCAGAAACCTGATTCTAAATCAAGTCTGAGTTTTGTTAAAGTAGTTTTTTTTGTTTGTTTTGCTTTGCTTTTTATTTCTACTGAATGTGGTGGGAATGAGAAGGAAGGGTTCACTGTAAGATGCCTTGTGAAGTTAGAATTGGTAGGACTTTGCCAACAATTGGATGTGGAGATGGTCAAGAAGAAGTGAAGTTAAAGATGAATCTTTGTCTCCAAAATTATGCGATGAAGCAGATATCGGGGGTGTCCTCCAAAACAGAGATGGTAGAAAGAACAAATTTGTACTGGTTGGCAGGAGGTGAGTAAGAAGCAGGAGCAACATAATTCTTAAAGCCCAATTAGAATTGAAGTTTTATTACAAATTTCAAGACAGTGACAGCAGAACAAGCACTGGACCCCACGGCCTGCACAAACTGCACTACCACAAAGGCAGCCCTGAAAGAGTTTAGTTTGGGGCATGTCTTACTTTAGTTGCTAGAGATACAGTAAAGATAAACTTACAAAACAGGAATGGAACAATTATGTAGTCCTTTACAGATCAGAAAGATGGAACAAGAATGTTGGAATAATATATCAGCTGAAGGAACCTTTATCATATTCAAGGGCATTGTTTTTATTTTTAAATAACAAACTGAAGACACTTTAAGGATAGAGTGTTAGTTTAACTGTCCCTCAGGCATGATTATTTATAACAATCTTTTTGTATCCCAAGCTATAGATAGAGGGAAAGAAAAGACATTTACTTTGAGAGCCAGTCCTGATCTAGGGATGGAGAGAAAATTCTGGAACAGACTTTACCACTTAAATGTGGTAGATAGAATTTTTATCTAGGACACACTATATTGGGCTTCCATGACTTTTGCCACTAACTAGGTGAGTGACTTTTAATAAAGCATTTCACCTCTCTTGGTCTCATGTCTTTATTAATTAAATGGTAGTTTATGCGAGATGTATTCATTTTATAAAATTTACTATTTTCTATTTTGCTCTAGCACCAAACTTACCTCTAAATAGTGGTGAGTAAAACAAAATGTCTGACATTTTCTACCTACAAAATGCTAAGATGTTTAAGATTTTAAACACACACACAAATAAAACAATGATATATCAGAAATCATACAGCCCAGTCAGACCAAGATAAGAATTTCAGATCTCCCTCTTACTACCTATGTGCACTTGATCAAAATTCTTAACCTTTCTGCTTTACATTTTAATCTGTAAAATGAGAATAATGGTGCTAACTGCCATGTGATGTTTAAGATCCCTGTGCATTCATGCCTAGCTCAGTGACTGTAGTGCATAGTACTTACTAAATAAATGTTTATGACTTTTTCACTCTCTGACTCTTATTCCTCATGCTGAATATGCATTTCAGATTCTCAGGTCATCCATCAAAATAAGAACACTTCCCGGATCACCTCATCAAGACATTTATGTACGAGGTCAGACAATTAGTTTGCGAACTCATCCTAGAAAAAGTGCTACATACCTCATTGCTGTATATCACTACGGTCACTTTTGAAGTACTCCCCCTGGGAATCTATGCACTGATGCCAGTGCCTAGTTCACCCTTCAAAGCAACTTTGGAACTCTTTTTCTGGAATGGCCTTAAGAGCTGTCGTCATATTAACCTTGACGCCCTGAATGTCATCAAAATGTCTTTATTTTTGATACATAAAATTTAAACTCTGACCAATTCTTCTAAGCCTCTATAAAATGTATGACAGATGTTTGGAGTTCTTTCTCTCTCAACATAGTGATTCTCACCTTTTTTTATTTTTATTTATTTATTTTTTCTGTTCATGGGTCTCTTGAAGAATGTAGAGAAAGTTAAAGACACTCTTCATAGAAAAATGCACATACGCATGAAATAGAGCACAATCTCACCATGGCCCCAGCCTCTTTGTTCCCCTGAAGTCCATCTATGCACCTCAGATTGAGAACTCGATAGTAATCCAAAGATATATTTATTGACTACAGAAAACTCAAACTTTAATTTGAAATTCATGAATTCTGAGTGGTTATGGACCTTGATAAATCATCCTTTACCATCACTAATATTTAAAGGGAACACTTTGAATGGATTGGATTTCACAGGCCATGTGTGAATATTGATTTCAGCCCTGCCACACAGCTTTTCTGCACTCTGAGTGAAGAGACTATTCTGCCCGTGTTTCAAGGCGAGGTTTATCCACCCCAGTGACAAATACTTTGCTGAAAACAAGACACCTGGGACCGGGCTGTCTCAAACCACATCCTAGGCTGCTCTATATGTGTCCAAAAGATTAGTTACATAATATTGACACTTCTGCATCAGGGGATGATTCCCTTGTTGCCACCAACTTTGAAGTAGAAGATATTTGAAGTTTCCAAATCTATGTCAAAAGGCAGATGATTCTGGAAGCCCCATGATTTTGATTCTTTATTGCTAAAAATTCTTAACTGTTTAGAACTAAAACAGTGATAGTTTACTTTGTGTAAGTGTAAAATACATAAACCACCTATATTCTAACAGAGAAAAAGTATAATGTTTTATTTTCTCTGTTTATGTAATGCATCTGCACAATTGTCAGATTTTTATTTCTTCATTATATTTATGGAATATCTTTTTAGGGTTGGTTCATGTTCAGATTGCTGATGACAGACTATCTCCGCTAAATACAATGCTTAAGTGCTTTTAGTTACATTTTTAGAACATACATACGTCTTTATTGCAGACATATTACCTGATCCAGGCTGAATGTGCTTTCTTCAAATGTCTAAAAATTCACTAAGGTATAATAAAATAGGAAAATGTTTTTAAAATGTTGTGTCATGTGGTTTAAATAATTGTCAATAATGAACACTGTTTATCTTCAAAGGTGTATTGTTTTAGAAATGTTATGTTTCAAAATGTTAAACATGGGCAGGTTAGCTCAATTTTCTGTGATATTTTAAAGATTTGATTCCTGATCTATAAAAACAAAACATAAAAGTTGTCTTCTACACCACCCTTTATGGAAATTATCTTTTCTAGAGATGAACATTTAGCTGGAAAAAAATCAGTTCTATCGAAAAATCCATGTAAAATCTCAAAAAGAGTTACAAATTTGGCAAGGTGTAACAAACATTTAAGGCCCTTGATGTTAATAGTCTGAGTTCCTGTGTTAAAAACATTGCTTTATGTAAATAGACAATTCAATTTTTATTTGTTGATCTGCATCAGTTGAAAGTCTCTAAGCTCAGAAACTTAGAACTGTAATTATTATATTTTACCAAAATTAAGCATATATACCATTGAATTCCAAAATGAAACAAACAAACAAAATCAAAGTTTTTGTTTGTTTGTTTGTTTGTTTGTTTTTTATGCTTATCTTGCAGGTCATAAAGATAAACCTCAAAAACTACTTGGTACTTGAAACCTCATTCTGCTTAAGTGAAGATAACTGGTCTGTGACAATATATTCTCTTTAGACACTAGATCTTTGCTTAAAAAAAAAATAACAGTTCACTGAAAGCATACTATATGCTAGCTCTTAGCTAAACACATTACATGTATTTAATCCCGAAACAACACTAAGAGGAGAATGATGCTGTCATTTTATAGATGAAGAAGGTGAGGTTTATAGAAGCTAAGTATCTCACACCACTAATAGAATGGAGATTGGAAGCTATACCATCCTGAGTCCAAATTCTGAGCACCTCCTTATATTCAATATAAGCACTATGGTCTTAAATGTTTTCCCTTGTCCCACATTTTGTAAAATGTTTCACAAAGTATAAAAATGTTGATATATTACTACATAAAGGCATCCTACCATTGTGGTGAGAAGTTGGGCTGTGGAGCAAAACTACCTGGATTTGATTGCTAACCCTACACTCAATGGTGTAAGCTACCCTAGACTCTCAGTTCTTCAATTACCAAACCTGCAAATTCAGGATCATCATAATGATACATTCATAGACATTATGAGAATAAAATGAAATTCATTCAACGATATATGGAGATTACTAATAAGGACCCCGGCAGACAACTAATATTCAATATATGTTAACTGTTCATATGATAACTACTATTATCAAATTATCTTTGCTTTGCGTATGTCATCTGGCCCTACAAAGAATGGAAAGTTTTACCAGACAGAAACCATATTTTATGTTTATTTTTTATTGCTTTTATAATAAAACTAATTTTTTGTATATAAACCTAAACATTGATATCTCCCTCCAAAGCAGCTAATTTTTTT